CTTGAACTTGAACGTGAAAAACTATTAAGTGGCCTTTAGGACTTGACTAGAAAATTGAGTGCATTGAAGTTGGTTAATGAAAACTAGGAAATTAAGGTTAAATCATTAACTATTAATCTTGATAAATCTAAAGCTCAACTTCAATCGTTTATGAGTGGCTTGCAGAAGCTGGACAGTCTGCTTGGGATAAAGAAGCCTGCTAGAAATAGGCATAGTTTAGGTTATGGTGATAACCATTATACTACTGCTAGTACATCCATGACCACGTGCGTTCCTGCCACTAACAAAGCTCATGAGATTGCTTATCTCAAACCCAAGAGTAAGCATGCCATAGGATTGAGACCTACCGACAGCGTAGGGTTAGTCGTCCTACATTTTGGCAACAACCACCGAACAGGTTTGAACCTAGGTTCATTCCCACTTGCCACCATTGTGGTGCTCTGGGACACACCAGACCTAGGTGTCATAATCGAGTGACTAGAAGTAAGAATCTGGATTTCATTAGCAAGGTTGACTTTCTTGCCAATCAAGTCAGTCACTTAACTGAGATGATGACTCTGTTAGCTCAATCATCTTCTGCTTCTAAGAAATTTTGGGTGAAGAGAAGCTACCTCGAAGGTCGTGGAAATAGTCGTGCTCTTAATGGCAAGGGCATTCAAATTTCGCCCTGATTGTGTGATTATGTGCATACATGTATTGTTCATTGTGTCCATTCATTCATGCATACATCTTATTTATTTTTGTATTCATTTTTTGTTGTTTCTTGTTTTTGCATTTATTTGCTTTAAGTATTATTAAAAAAATTTAAAAATGAGAAAAATACAAAAATAGTTTCTCGTTGGGCAAACGACACATCATTTTGAGTTTAAACCTGTTATGTGAGACCAAGTGAGCAATTATTTGAGCTATACTTCTATTTCCATTGTTTGATTTGGTTTAATGTGGAGTACTGAGTATATGTGTCATCATGTAATCTTTTTCTCTGCACACACTATGATCTTGTGAATGAGTCTGAACCGCGTGTGTGAGATTTGGGATAGCTGTCACGTGTTAGTA